ATATTCAGTGATGTTTACACTGACTGAAGCGGGATTCGGTTTTGATGACGCGTGGCGGGAGGGGAAGGGAATTTCAAAGACTAACCTGGTTCTCCTGAGACTGCGTCCTCTGGAGAACTTTACACAAGCAACGCCATACACACACATCCAAGCGCACCACATGACTGCCACATGACCAATTCAATAGGACAAATACCCCTCACCTCCAAAGTTTTACAAATATTAAGCCATATGCTTATCTTAGGGTCAAAAGGAGGGGGGGGGCATTCTAATGACTGAACTTTTGTGTTTATTCATTGTCCTAAAAAGATTTTAATTTGTTGATTTTTGAGTCTCAAACTGGTCTCATTTCTGTAAATGTTGACAGCATAACCTGCCTGTGTGATTGTGTGCGACTGGCCGTTTCTTTTTTTTATTATTATTTTTTTTTAGATGCACATAATGTCTGGTAACTTCGTGTTATTATCAGAGTGTTGGCAAAATATCTGTTTAATAGTTGACATTTGACTTTCTTTTTCCTCATTCTGTGGTTAATCTTGTGCAGAAAGGAGTCTGAGCTTCAGTCACTCTCGGCGTTTTTACTTCTGAAATATCATGAGTGTTTAAGAAAGACGGAGAGAAAGCAGTAAGGATCTTGGCAAGTGCATAAGTTGCTCTCAGTATCTGAGCGTCACTTCGTCTGCCGCTTGCGGTCTTCTGCGGCAGTCGTGTGGGCGCATTTCTGTTCATCAAAAGAAACCGTCTTAAAACTGCTGCCACACAGAAAGAATCGGAGGCGTAGATTCGATTTTGCGCGGAGGCACACAATGTTTTAGATTAGCTTTAGACTATCTTGAGGAAAATGGAAACGTTTTCCTCGAGCTTGACAAAATTGCTTTTTTCATGTGTGAAATTGGATCTGTTTGTGTGTGTTAGTGGCGAAGAATGCCATGCTCGAGTCTGTCTGCGTTTGCTCTTCATGTCGAAAGGGACTATATGGGCGAGGTCCAGCAATAATGTACTCAAAAATAAATGCCCATGTTGTTTCGTTCTAAAGAAACGATGCTTAGATGTACAAATTAGACATTTGTAGATGAAAAACATTGTCATTTCCCCCTTTAACCGAAGCCATGTCATCTGTGAACGTGAACTTTGTTTCTATAGCTTGCCAGATTGAAATGTGAATGACGCCAGAAGACTAAAGCCAAGTTAGATGCGGACTGCATTCAGAGCAGGCTACGTCTCCATGAACTTCACCGCGAGGATCTCAGACACTGGGTTCATTGTCTCATTCTCGCTGTGTGTCAGACTGAGACATAACATTGTTTTCCTAAGTATGGTTTTATGTTTTTTTTAAAAAGTGTGAGATATATCTATATATTAGCAGTTTAACCAAATTGCAATAGAATGGTCCATAATTTTCATTTTGTACTCCTGTTTCTCTTCCTAGCTACCCAGCCATTTTACAACACAAATTAATTGTGCTGGAATAAAAATCATGCGCAGCAGTGACCCACGGGCTCTTCTCTGAGTGTTATTGATCTGAAAGCATTCGTTGCATTTGTTCATCTCCGAATCCTTCTGATCAGACGTTTGGCTTTTAAAGTCAATGTGAATTGCAGTGTTTGTTCTTTGGAATGACGTGCACCAATGAATCGTTCATAGTAAAACGTGGATCATGCATTCGATCAATTTTGATATTTAAGCATATGCCTCAGCTGCCTGTGTATATATTGCACTTTATGTTCAGAAGAACGGCCTGAGTTGGTTCTTTCTGTGAATAGGGTATAAATAGGTTCCATTACTTCAACAATAAAAGCACAAATTCCATCTGTTGAGAGAAATGTTAGAGAAATATGTTAGATTTGAAATCTAACATTGGCATAGAATGACGCTAGTTCACCAAACATACCAACAGTAAAATTAATTCAAATGGTCATCAATCACAGTCTGTATTGATTTAATAAAAAAATAATAATAATAATCTTCAGAATGCTGGCGAGACCAGTAAATGATCTCATTTCATTTTTCTTTTAGTTTACAAAATGTTCATTGAAAGTGCCCGTTGCTTTGGTTACTTATGTTCAGTACAATCATATCTAATTATATCTGGGTTTTGGTACATCTTAATTATAAACTAGGTTTTTGGAGGTTGACTGAAGCAGTAGTCAAAACTTCAGCTGCAAATTTTGAGATCACACACAGGTATTAAAATAATAAAGAACAAAAGCAAAAGAATGACGGTGAGAGATTTTCCACTTCTAATGGGTATATGTATATAAGTATATGTATGTATATATGTTGTCCTTTATTCCTTGCTGGATTTGGTGTTCTTGGAAGCCCTCAGAAATAAATTGTAACCTATACCAGATCCAAACACATACATTTGAACGTTGACAACTACAGTGATTTCATGTTTTTTATTATTATTACTTTTTTTTTTTTTTTCCACAAAGCCAATAAACCGTAAGATCAGTCTCTTCATGTGCTGTACCTTTAGCTCTTGAATGATTGTCAATGCCTGGTTAAATGGTTTATAACCAGATGCTTGAAAATGTAATGTGGGAGAGATAGAAGAGGAAAATGATAGCTCATTTCTGAAGACAAAGGGTGATGTTTTGAGGGGTCCTGTCATGTCACTGGAGTTAAAATTGCCATATGTTCATACTGTCATTTCACCTGTGACTCATGATTGGTTATAGCTATATCTATTCAAATGAAGTTATCTTCTCTAGGTCTTTCAGGCTGTTCATATCCTGTAAAGCCTTCCAGTGGCAAGAGCTTTGGCCTTGCCACACCCAGACCCGTTCAGCACCATAAACACACTGCTGCCACCAAGCGGACAAACAGTCAATGTGCAGTATATACAGTTTCAATAACTAAGTAACGGGCGCACAAGTCAGTCTGCAGACGGTACGTTTCTCAGAAGCTGCCTGTTTTTGTTAAACCACATGGAGCGCGTTGGAAGAAACGCTAACTACTTATTTAAAGCTATGTTTGACTTTAAAATCTAGTCTTTACAGTTGCGTTTTAAACTTCAAACCCGTTCCGTGTTCGCTCTTTATACGCCTGTCCCTTTAAGAATCAGCCTCCCGCTGTTCCCGGGCGTTCTCGCGGTTCTTCAGCGCTTGGCAACGTGCAAGCTGTGTCCTTATACGGACCAATGAGATCACCGCCAACGACCAAGCCCAGCCAATCAGAATCCAGAGTTTGTGCGCACGTTTGAAAATCAGCTTGCTTGTTTCACGTCTGTTTGTGTCGGAGCACAAACAAAAAATCGATAACGTTTTTAAAAATTAAAACGATAAAAGACAGCGGAAGTCAAGCAGACGAGTGACCAGAAGTGAATGAATCACGGTGAGTGGACTGATTGAATGAATCCTGCTGTGTTTGTTAGTAGAGTTTGCACATAACTAGCGTTCGCTGAGCTCTGTTGTGTTAGTCTGAAGGCTGGAGCTGCTGCTGTGTGCATGATGCCATCCAGAACTGAAGACTATGAGGTGTTGCTCACCATAGGATGTGGATCTTATGGGAAATGCCAGAAAATCAAGAGGAAATCAGATGGAAAGGTTAGTAAAATACAGATCGAACTCCGTTTAGCATGTGTAGTATGATGTATATGTAGGTAACTTGTATGTATAAGTTTGGGATCAGTAAGATTTGTAATGTTTTTTTGAAGAAGTGTCTTCTCATCATGGATGCATTTGTTTGACCAAAAATACAGGGGAAAAAAAAACGTAATATTGTAAAATAGTATTACCGTTTAAAATAATGGTTTTCTATTTTAATGTACTTTAAAATATAATTTATTTCTGTGATGCAAAGCTGAATCTTCATCAGCCATTACTCCAGTCTTCAGTGTCACATGATGTTTCAGAAATTATACTAATATGCTGATTTATAATCAATGTTGGAAACAGTTGTGCTGCTGTATTTACAGTGGGTACGGAAAGTATTCAGACCCCCTTCAATTTTTCACTTTGTTATATTGCAGCCATTTGCTAAAATCATTTAAGTACATTTTTTTTCCTCATTAATGTACACACAGCACCCCATATTGACAGAAAAACACAGAATCGTTGACATTTTTGCAGATTTATTAAAAAAGAAAAACTGAAATATCACATGGTCCTAAGTATTCAGACCCTTTGCTCAGTATTTAGTAGAAGCACCCTTTTGATCTAATACAGCCATGAGTCTTTTTGGGAAAGATGCAACAAGTTTTTCACACCTGGATTTGGGGATCCTCTGTAATTAAAAAGGAAGTAAACTGTAACCAACAGAGCACTCCGTATTCTGGGAAGTTTGTGTGCATTGGGAATCATATTTATTATTTTTTTTCAAATAAAGTCAAGGTAACACTCATTTTACATCCAGCACACAGTGAAAATGCCATATGACAGTGGGCAAATGCATAAAGTGCCGCATAATTTGAAATCACAAATTTAATGTTTAAAGCATTCAATCTGCACGGACCAACCGTCACGCAGAGAACACGCGATCATGCAGGTCACATGCACACTTCACAAGATCTCACAACTGGATTCGACTAAGTTTGCAAGGTTTGTGGAATTAAATTTTCATTAGCCATTCAAAGATTTGTTTAAATGATGTAAATGCATATTTGCTGACGGCAAACGAAAAAGTATTATGTTTGTCTTTCTATTACTAATAATATAAAAGCAATCGTTATAATACTTTTTGTATACATTTTAATTCCTTTGTTTAACAGTTCTAATGGATTATTAGACAGACTTCTATCCGTATTAGACAGAACTGTTAATGACGAGTGACGACGGCGAACAAGAGGGAGATTGTGAGCACTGTGTGCTCAGGCGCTGCCGCTCTCTGCGCCGTCAAAATAAAAGTCCCGCCTTGAAGGCATCGGCCAAACAGAAAAACTTATCGGCCGATGCCGATATTTGAAAAATGCCGATATATCGGTCTTGGCGATATATCGGTCGACCACTAGTCTTAAGTGTCTTTCAATCCTTAAAGTCTTAAATTTACCTCCATAAAACATGCAGAAACCCTGCTACTGTTATTTTGTTGTTCAAGCTGTTTTCCTGCATTACTGCAATGTTGGTTTGTTACACTTTCTTTCCAGACGGTACCTAGAAGAAGAATTCATCCTACGTGTGATGGCACAGTTGTCCCTGGCTTTAAAAGAGTGCCATGGTAGAAGTAACGGCAGCAGTACAGTTCTGCACCGTGACCTGAAACCCGCAAACATCTTTTTGGACGTCAAACAGAATGTAAAGCTTGGAGATTTTGGTTTAGCTCGGATACTGAACCATGATACAAGCTTTGCTAAAACATTTGTTGGAACTCCATATTACATGTCGCCGGTAAGTGTCTTTTCATCTTTCATTTAAATGTGAAAGAGAGAAGATGGAAAATTATGAAAATATAAATTGAACTGTAATAATTTCCAGTTAAAAGTCAGTAAATATATAAATAAAAATCACTGGGATTGTGAGGAGGGAAAATGGGCTTCACAGGAAAAGATCCGCAAGTGCAGCAGGACCCTTAAAGCAACAGTTCACCCAAAACTGAAAATTAATTTACAATTTTTTTTTAATTAATTAATTAAATTAATTTACCTCTTCACTGATATTTCTTTGAACAACGTTCACTCAGAATTTGTAAATTTCATGTTTAATTAAATGTTACATGCCATTTCTTTTTAATTATTTATGACATTTTGAAGTAGAAAGAATGAAAAAGTTTTCTTGTAAAACATCTTTATTTAACTTCGAAAAATTACTTCTTACAGTGGGTGACTGACTTTCTTCTGCAAAACACACACACAAAAAATATTTTGATGAGTATTGGTAACCAAACACAAACATTTTTAATTGCAAACTGTACTGCAGTCATAAGGGTGAGTAAATGAATGACTGAGTTTTAGTTTTTGGGTAAACTATATCTTTAAGTACATTTTTACAGACAGATGTTATACACACTGAGATTCATCATGATAGTTCTTATTGTCAGGACATGGCTGTGTCTGTTTTATTTATATTTGCCTGCTTTTATATTCACAGGAACAAATTAATCGCATGTCCTACAATGAAAAATCAGATATATGGTCTTTGGGATGTTTACTCTATGAACTATGTGCTTTATCGTAAGTATACATGTATTATTTTTTTTCTTGTAATATGATTACACTGAAATCAGTTATCCAAACTTGTTGTGTGGTTACACAAAATTGTGAATCTTGAAGCTTATTTTCAACCGTGTCTTTTTTTTTTTTTTTTAAGTCCCCCATTTACAGCATACAACCAAACAGAGCTGGCCGGTAAAATCAGAGAAGGAAAGTTTAGAAGAATCCCATACCGATTCTCTGATGACCTGAACACACTTCTTTCAAAAATGCTCAACTTAAAGGTAAACAAATCTTTGGCAGGAGGACCATTACATTTTTTTTATTTTTCAATAGAACTTGCCAGAAGGCCAAAATCAAAGTAATTTGGGTTCCAGGGGTCGGGTTCACATTGCCCCGTATGCTGTTTTGTCACTTTCTGGCTGGTTGTTATCTTTTGTTAGGACTATCTGAGGCCCTCAGTGGAGTCCATTCTGCAGAACAGCTTGATCTCGGGCTATGTAGCCCAGGAGCAGAAGAGGCTTCAGGAGAAGCAGCGGCGCAGATCAGTGGACGTAGAGCAGCCCAAACATCCAGATCCGTCGCTTCTAGCAGAGCTGCGGCTTAAGGAGCAGATTCTACGTGAGCGTGAGCAGGCCCTCAAAGAGCGAGAGCAGAGACTAGAGCGTAAGTCTGCTTGAGTTTACACCTGGAACTAACATCTGTCTCGGGTGAGACACACCGAGAAGCTTAACCTCAGATGTAACTAGTGTTTAAACTGTGATTAAACCACTCTATTCATATGGTTTATTTCTACGATGTCTTTCATGAAAGTTTTGGTTGCGTCGGCTTTCAATGGGCCAGAAATCTCTCCAGGTTTCATCTTTTGGGTTTGGAATGACATGACGGAGATTTCATTTTAGCTGAACTGACTCTTGCAGTACTGCTTATTGGCAAAACATTTCATTCAGTGAGCTTATAGTGTGTTTAACCTTTTACTTTTTTCTAGAAAGGGAACAGGAGCTGTGTGTCCGAGAACAGCAATCAAATGAAAAGCTGGCCAGGTAAATATACAGCCGCCTTTGCTGAGCTGGTCATTTGAATGCATTAAATATTAGTAGTGTGCTGCATAACTAGCTATAGCCACTGGTTGACATATGGTATACAATGTTGATAATATGTGGTTGTAATTGTTCTCTGTCAGAGCTGAGAGCTTGTTGAAGGCGTATAATTTGATCCGGCAGCAGAGGGCGCTCTCTCTACTCAGTGCCAGTGACACAGGTATAAAACAATTTAATGCTATATAGATGAGTGACCATATGTTGTTTTCTTTTTTCTTATTTCAGTGCTCTCTGTTAATGCTCAAGGTTAAGTGGCTGGTATATGATTATATAACTCTACTGGTAAAAAATGTGGAATAATTACAATTTTTTAAAATGTTTTTGATAGGGCTATTATGCTCACCAAGGCTGCATTCATTTGATGAAAAATACAATAAAGTTGTGAAATAATATTATTCTAATTAAAAATAACTTTCTATTTTAATATATTTTAGAGTGTAACTTATTCCTTTGATTTTAAAAAGATGAATTTTCAGCACTCATTACCAGTGTTGGGGGTAGTAACGTGAGTTACGTAATCCGATTACTTTTTTCAAGTAACTAGTAAAGTAATGCATTACTTTTTTAATTTACAAGAAAATATGGGAGTTACTTTTTCAAAAAAGTAACGGCAGTTACTTTGTTTTCCCATTTATTGACTGACAAGTCTCCTGTCCCCATTTTGGGAGAAATCGGAGGTACAGAGGCGTTGTGTGCGGTAATGACTAATGAGGCTAGCAAACAATACTTGTGAAGGCTGATGAGTGCAGTGTGCAGTAACAAGGAAAGCATGACTCATAGCCAACATTATATGGGTTACAGATCTTATAATGAAAGAAAATACTTTAAAACATGAGTGACCTAATTCTGTGTTTTGACAGAGAATGAAGAGAACATCTCCCCAGGAAAGAAGAGGGTTCACTTTGCAGGAGACGGCAAGGAAAATGGCAGACCTGAGAGCAGACTGATCGCTAAACCTCAAGAACATTGTCTTGTAAAGAGGCACCAATGGGCTAACATGCGTATCCAAACTCTTGGTGAAGAGGAAAAGATGTATTCATCAAAGCCCAGAGAGATGCAGGGCATCCGCTAACCATGAACCACAATTTACTACTGAAAGTGGAGCATTAGTGGGATCAAGAGTTTTATTTACAGTTGTTTTCATTAGGAAATAAGATTTGTGCTTTTATTTATTTGCTGCAGCATTTGTACAGTACAGTGGAACAACACATTTGTGGGCATTACACTGGGTTATTTTATCAAAGATAATGTGCTGTATTTAGTCATTTTATAGATGTTTTATTACCTGGATTGTTTAATTTGGATTTGCAATTTTTAAAAATTTTTTTTTTTTTGAATAAAGGGTTGATAATATTATCAGTTTTGTTTGTATTCATTAAAATTGAGAAGCATTTCTGCGTTGGGCTCCATAACTTTATAATACAGTTCGGGGGTTCACGGTTCAAGGGATACTCTGAATTTAGTCACTTAGTTCTTCGTTTTTCGAGAAATTAGTTACATTTTCCTCGATCCCAAGTTTTCAGCCAATCGCAGGCGAGTGTGGGCGTGGCCAGACGCTGAGCGTGTTCCGTGTGGAAAGTTCGCCGGTCCGGGTGCAAAGTTTCAGCCGTCTGCAGACCGGAGGCAGAAGACGAGCACTATAACCGGACCGAACTCCGGTCCCCAGCGCTCATTACACACGGATCGAAGTATCGCTTACTGTCTGTCGGTCGAAACGAGTTCAGTTATGGGATATTAACCCGAAGGGGTATCGTGTTGATTTAAAGCTTTGTTTCGTGCTCTGCTCGCGGTGGAATCATGGCCTGCGCGCCGAACCGGGTCCGCCTGCTGTGCATGCTGTCGCTCACCTTCGGCTATTTCATTGTGGAGGTGGTGGTGAGCCGGATCACATCGTCTTTAGCGATGCTTTCGGACTCCTTTCATATGCTGTCGGACGTGATCGCGCTGGTCGTGGCTCTGGTGGCGGTGCGTTTCGCGGAGCAGACCCAGTCCACCAACAAAAACACGTTCGGCTGGATCCGGGCCGAGGTGATGGGCGCCCTGGTCAACGCCGTTTTCCTCACCGCGCTCTGCTTTACCATCATCCTGGAGGCCATCGAGCGCTTCACGGAGCCTCATGAGATCGAGCAGCCCGTGGTGGTGATCACGGTGGGGGCCGTGGGGCTGCTGGTCAACCTGCTCGGGCTCTGTCTCTTTCACGGGCACGCCGGAGGCGGAGGACACGGACACAGCCACGGGGGACACAAAAAACACAAGAACGGGAAGATGCGCCGGTGTGAGACGCTGGAGGAGAGTCGGTCCGCGGGCGAGGAGACCAATAATCTGGTCGGGAATCAGAACAACAGCCCTAATGGCGTTAATCCGGACCGGAGCAGAGCCGGTAAATCGGGTTTGTTGTCATGAAAACTTCTAAGATATGTAGAACACTAGATATATATCCTTAATGATTCAAAACAAACGAGACCAGGTGTGTATTAATCAGGTTAAAGTCGGATGATGTACGACGAAACGTGTGGAAAACTTTCCTCTCAGGGCTTTTGTTTCTTGTTTGAGCTTGTTTGTTAACCTGCAGCCGACTGGCGACAAACCCATCGAGTCAAAGCGATGTTCACCCCAAAATGAATTCCGTCATCGTTTACTCGCCCTCATGGCGTTTCAAACCTGTATTTTTTTTTCTGTGGAACATAAAAGAAGATATTTTGAGAAATGTCTCCGTCGGGGTCTAATCAGTAGAAGTCAAGGGCAGTGTTGCCAAACCCCTCCCTCAGAAAATCTCTAGAACCTCCCTCAAAAGTCTCCATTTTTCACAAAAAGTCGCCAAATATGAAAACAAAGTAAATACAGGTAAATTTGGTAAAGGTAAAGGATAGTAAATATATATATATACTTTACAAATGATAACAGTATAAAAACTATAACAAAGGATTAAATATAACAAAAAATTCTGAAGTGAAATTAGGAAATGCTTGTGATCTGCAAGCACATCAAACATGATGGAAATGATTAGTATTTAAATAGTATATATTTACGTTGAACTTTATTCTTGAACAGATGGCGCTGAATTAAGCAGTATATAAAAAGTGTTTCTGTTGCTCATGAAAACGTTTCTGAAATGTTTGTGTATTTGACAAATATTGCATTTAATTCACTTCATCTGTGATGGAGTATGCAAACACCGCGTGAGCGTCACTAACGGGAGCAGTAAGTGTCCGGCTTGACGGCTCCGTTTTCACCTCCGCCCCGACTGCAAGCGGCTACTCTCGTTGACTGCCGTCTGTAGCGGTGCTTCAAGTCGCCAAATTGGCTAGTGATTTGACAGTGTTACCCACCACAGATGATTTTTACCCGCATTTAGCGGGTTGGCGGGTGTTAATTTCAAACCCTGGTTACCAGGAATCTTCACAATATCGAAGTTCATTCAAAAAGAGAAGAGACTGGAACTATGCAGCGCTAGCTATCATTTACACAATATTTTCTTGCTCTCCACGGACGAATTTGTTTCTTAAAATATGTTCTGATAGTTGCAAATGGCACTGGCATTTTCATCCTTTGGTCTTGCTATATTATGTAATGAGGAAAGGAGAATTGGGCTTTTTTTGTCAATACAATGGAAGTCAGTGGTAACTAAAACTGTTTAATGACCAACAATCTTCAAAATGTCTTTGTATGTGTCCAGCAGAGGAAAGTCATACTGGTTTGGAATGACATTAGGGTGAGCGAATTACAGAACTGACATTTTTGTGTAAAATATGCTTTTAAGAACATGCACAAAAAAATGCCCCGGAATTTTAATACCCAACTGTTTAAGTGGCTGAAACAAAGCAAAACCAATGTTACACTGTGTCTACACTGGACGCAAGTGGCACGGCGCGACTATACTATATTATGTACTATAGAACTCATTATAATCAGTGATGCTGTCTACACCGTAGATATATATATACATATCTATGGTCTACACTGGATGCGGCGCGGCACGACACAACAAATCCCCGACAGAAAACTGCTGCTGCGTTCTATTCATGATGTATTGACACAAATTTCAAATGATTTTCAACGGTCGCTTTGTCGCGTCCAGTGTACTAGACAGACTTTAGCTGTTGTGGCACAGACACAGTGTTACTCACCTATCGAGAAGAAACAAAGCAACCTCGGCATCCGATCGCAGGCCTTCCGCTCCTTGAGTTCTCTCCAGCGCTGGAAAGCTGATCCGATATTTATACGGGTCCTACTTCTTGCCTTAAGCCTTCTTTTGTTCTGCAGACGTTTTCCTCTTTTGTTTTTTATCCGCCATCTCTATCTTTCTGTCGCTCGGCTCGGCTAATGTCCTTCCCGTTCACTGAACACCCTCTCCTCCACATCATGAGTAGACACGCCCCTTACTGCTGATTGGCTACAAGTTTGTTTTGCTATTCGGCCCGAATCAGTTTTCTAAAGCGTTTTTGAAAAATCACTTACCCCACCTTTAATTTCAATGAGAATATACAAACTGCTGTTTTGTCATATGTTTTCTTGAATTTTATTTCTTGCTTTCTTTCTCCTCCGTAGAGATGTGTCACAGTGACAGCCCGGATTTGCAGATTAATGGCGGCGCTCTGTACGAAGAGCTCGAGAATGGACACGACTCGGCGTCCCAGCTCAACATGCGGGGGGTTTTCCTGCACGTCCTGGGCGACGCACTCGGCTCGGTCATCGTGGTGATCAACGCCATCATCTTCAACATCGTATGGAAGCCATGCTCTCCGGGCAGTATCTGTGAGAACCCTTGTGTAGGCCAACATTGCGCTGACCACTCGCTCAACAGCAGCAGTGCAATATCCAACGCCACTTTGCACGTAGCGGGACCCTGCTGGGTGCTGTATCTCGACCCCACCCTCTGCATCATTATGGTCCTCATCCTCCTCTACACCACATACCCGTTGTTGAAGGAGTCTGCACTTATCCTGCTACAGACCGTGCCCAAGCAAATCGACATGCATCAGCTCAACGCTCGCCTGCGGGATCTGGAGGGTGTGCTGGCGGTGCACGAGCTGCACATCTGGCAGCTGGCAGGCAGTCGCATCATCGCCACTGCACACATCAAATGCCACGACCCCACGTCCTACATGGACGTAGCCAAGCGTATCAAGGACTTTTTCCACAATGAGGGCATCCACGCTACAACCATTCAACCAGAATTCGTAACGGTGAACTCGGAGTCTCGCATTTCACTCTGCGAGCTCTCCTGTAGAACGCAGTGCGCCCCAAAGCTCTGCTGTGGCGCCGTTGATGCTGCAAAGCCTCCTGATGGAGCTATAGAACCGAAGAATCCATGTGAAGCCAAAACCCCAACGGTAACCAGTACTTCTGCTACATCTCTGGAGATCATCAGCGAGTCTGTGGAGGAAACAAGCAGGCCAGAATCCGTTGTGATCATCACTAGGGAGGTGGAATCGTCATTGTGAGCGAGGAGAAGGTTAGACGGACAACATTCTGTTCTCTTAAGAGTACTGAAGTGTATTGACTCAGCTGACTGATTTCTGCCATGCTGTGAGAAGAACTGAGCCCAAATACACTCATGATAACACACACACACACACACACACCGCAGCTCGATATCTCAGATACTACACCAACATACAGACAATATAAATAGGCTGGAGAGCAAGGCTAGCCTCCTCTGCATGTGTGTTTAGCACATCGTCTGATTGGTGTGTCCGTGCCAAAGCTTCTTTTCATACAGGACACCAGACACTTGTGTCCTTCCTGTGGTTTGTAATGCAACGACATGCAATTTTAACATTCAGCTGCTGGACCAAGTAGAAATGTCTGGACTAGATTTTTTTTTCTACCCATCCTTTTTCTGTTTTATCCTTTACACTTTATTGTTTGTTTCTTAGTCATATTCAAATTTTCAATTTTGTGAGAGATGTAATAATTTATGTATTTAAGTTATTGTTAATTAAGTTTTTTTTTTTTTCAAAGAGCTTTTTGCAAGACTTAGATTTGGTGATATTAGAGATAAAAACAAAAAGGATTTTTTGCTTCTTTCACAACCAATGATCTGTACTTTAATCGAGAGTATTTTTAGATGATGCTTTTCAAAGATTGCTGTTCAGTCTTTCACTTATTTGTTTTATTAGACATCAGAAGACATGTCGACAGTACTTCACCATTCCTATAATTCAAACTTGCTGTTATAGCACTGAATCTAGTCAGTGTAGGAACTAGACAAACCTTCTCTTATTGGTTTTTATAAAAGCTGATGCCTTGTTTGTTCTGTTGTTGTCAATCAAAACAAGAGGTGAAAATGCTGTTAAAAAAAGTTTTTTTTGTTTTGTTTTGTTTTTTTGGTGTGACTGCTGGAGCGTGATATGTTTTGTCCATGCTGTCATAAAAGTGAAGGGACCTCCTAAGATTTGTGGAAAACATTCATTTGTGCATGACTAAATATACATATGGTTGTATGGAAAGCTTTGAGAAACCAAGCAAAATTTGTAAACCAAAAGACGAGGGAGTTACTTTCTGAAATACACAGGGAGTAGTAGGCACATAGGTTTGGGGTGTCACACAATCTACTCGGTGGCCTTCAGTAGGAAAAAAAAAAACATATAATATCAGCTCTTCACAACAATATTTATATCTGCAAACTTTAGCATTTGGTGAAAATATGCAATTTATGAAAAACAGAAATGTACTAGTCTTTATTATTAGTTGTAGTGAATTTCTTAGAGATCTTTTAGAGGAAAGATGAGCTATAATGTGCTGACGGAGTGTTTGTATCACTGAGGATTTTAAAAGTACCATGCCAGCTGAAATGTTTTTGATATATTACTGTCAAACGTGTCATTGTGAATTAAACATGCTTGTTTGGTACTGTTCAATTCATGTCTGTTGTGTCACTTTTTTTAGGAAAGCTGATTCATGCGAGGTTTATTTGATTTAACCAATTAATGAATAGAATAAGACACTTCAACATTGTACAATGAAAGAAAAATCTCTATGCAAATTATAATTTAGGCCAAGTCAACTTTAAAGGGGTCATATGATGCGATTTCAAGTTTTCCTTTCTCTTTGAAGTGTTACAAGCTCTTGGTGCATAAAGAAGATCTGTAAAGTTGCAAAGACTAAAGTCTCAAATCCAAAGAGATATTCTTTATAAAAGTTAAGAGTTAGCCACGCCTACCTAAAACGGCTCGTTCTAACACGCCCCCACACGTCTATGTCACGATGTGGGAAGATTTGCATAACGCCGCCCAAATGTTCACACAAAGAAAGAAGGCGTAACTT